GGGTCTTTCATGCTCTTTGACGAGTCAGACACGCTGGAGCTTGCCTTTTGTCCCGTGGCCATGCCCTTCAGAATGCTGAGCCAGATGCTTCAGTAAACTGCCTTTTTGGGAAACTCCACAAGATATACACGTATCTTCTTGGGGTTCCAGGACATTGTACAGCACCCTGAAACTCCGGCCGGCTTCCTTCCCGGGAGGACACTGGGACATGGGGAGCAGGGAGGCCTCAAGGCTCAGCAGGACCAAGTCATAGCCACCCAGGCCTCTGACTGGATGGCCCCACTGCCAGCACTGCTGGGTACCTGCAGTTATGGGCATTTTATCAAAGCTACTTTTCTCAAATGCCATCAATGTATCAATTCACGTACTAATCCCATGCCTTACTTTACTCCCTGTTAGTTTGCCCCATACATCCAGTGACAGCCACTAGAGCTGCTCCAAGTCTGCAGTCAGCCCAGGAGAGATGCCTTCCGATCATAGGGTACCAATTTTTAACATTGCTGTCAAATCTCCTTTACCCCATGTCACCTTTGAGTCACTTCAAAGTCCCATTGATTTGTGCTTTAATGATTTTTTTTACCAAATCTCCCACAAAAAGCCCCAAGCTCCTCCTTAGCTCTGCTATCTGGTCTCCACCAGCAGCCACACGGCAAAGGTGGAGAGGTTTACCAGAGGTGGCCAGTCCAAGTGACTGCTTGTCCAGCCCCATACTTCCCAGAGGTAGTGATGACCTTCATCTGAAAATGTCCCCAGGTCCCATGAGATAGTACTTGGCTTTTTTTTTTTTTTTTTTTTTTTTTTTTTTGCTTGACCTGTCTGGCACTGAAATTCCATGTCCTGTGGCATTTGGAGGAAGATCTGCAGTTAGCTCTGAAAATACTGCTCTCAGCTAGGACAAGGGAAGGATTCAAATGGGGGCTGTGCCAAGCATTGACTCAGCGCATGTCTCATTGAGCAGGCTCAAGTCACTGGCATCATCCCAGCTGCTGGCAGGAGAGAAAAGGGCGCTTAGAACCACCCAATTCACCCAAATGTCTGTTTGTTCAGGTTAAAGAAGCCTGACAGGTACCAGATCAGACAAACCTGGATGCCAGTTTCCCTGCCACCAGTTTACGAAGCGCCTTTCTCCAGGGCTTGCAAGATGGGAGAAGCTCAGGAAGTGATGCACTGGCACCACTGAGATTCCTTATGTGCCCACATTGGTTTTGCACTCAGAGATATATTTGATCCACTTTTTTTTTAATCCCATCTGGCTGCTGTCAGATGTAGCTTTGTGGGCACCAGAATCCGAGGTGTCTTGGTTCTCTCAGAATGCACTCAGCCTGTCGCCATCAGGCAAGATATGGACCCAGCTTCTCGGCACATTTGTTTTCAGTGCATCAGTGTAGCTCTTTCTTAGCGGTTTGCTGTGCCACACTGCGGTAAAGAATGCCGCAGGTAAGGTACACTGTAGCACCTTTCACAAGACACCAAATTTCACTAACCCCGAGTACACCACTGCTCTCAAGGAAATTACTTGGCATGCTTGAAGCACATCCACTCAGGCCACAAGCTCCTCTTGCCCTAGCCAAACTTTAACTTCACAGAGCAGGGCAATTCTCCTGCTTAAGAATTCCAGTCCAACTTGAAAACATTAGCAAAGAACAAAAGAACACAACAGGGAGCTTTCAGAGATGTTTTTCTCATTGCATGCTTTTTCTTCACTCTTCTTGTCTAACAGAGACAGCACATGAGAATCCAGGCTTTCAAAGGTTTGCCTGATGCACAACTGTGATGACAAAGGATGAGTGTGGTGAAAACACAGAGACAAAAGATCCTTGCAACAAAAGTCTTCCCAAATGGGGAAAGAGGAGTCCAGGACTGGAAACTCTAGAGACAGGAATTGATTGTCAGATGGCAAAGAGGGTTCTCATGTTTCTCTGAAAAAACAAGAGTTCCTCAAAATGAGCTGGAGTGAACACACTGGGAGATGAACACAGGTAAACTTATACTGTCAACTTAACAAAATACAGCTGAGATTGAATAAACAGAGAAGAGGAGGTGTGCAAGTGCTTATTGTTCACAACCTTGGGTAAGTAAGAAGCCTGCTTTGTTTGTTTGTTTTAGCTATTGCAGCATCATCTGTTTTCTCTAGGTAATCAAGGATCATTGTTCATTTTTTAAAATTCACAATGATCCACAAAACATGTTTAACAAAGCTGCATTCCCTTTTTCTGGTTGTAAAGTTACCCTGGGTAGAATCCCAAGAATTAGACATTCCAAATCCACATTCCAAGGGATGATCAGCTGGGCTTCTGCAGATACATCCAACATGGTTTTGGCATTTATAGTGAAACTAGAGTTCCAGTAAATTCCCTGGCTGTGCCCCTTTCTTCCTGCAACTAAAGCTTTTACATGCCTTGTTTTATCTACATATAAAAATAGTAATCAATGAAAACTTCAGAAAGTGTTTCCCTCCTTACCCTTCTTCCATCCAGACAAACTGCAAATCCTGCTATTTAAACCACACTTTCTACACATTGCTGTTGCTTTCATCTGGATTATCTGTGATTAATCCACATATTTCCTGGAGGACAGTGCCCAGAACTGCATGAAGGCCTCTCTAATTCCTGTCAGAATGGAAAGTAACTCCACCACCTGCCTGATTCAGACATGGGCTGTGGACACAGCCCTAGTGAACTGCCATGCCATTCATGAAAGCAGAAAACCATTCACAACTACCCTGCAACACTGACTGCTGAAAAACTGAAGAACCATGCAGCATTCTGTGTGCATTAACAGCTTCCACAGAGCAGGCATGTCTAATGCCTCCTGGGGACAGGAGACTGACTAATTATTATGCTATTTCATGGCTTGGATACATCAGCAATCTCAAAGTGTTCAATGTTGTGTATGCCCAACCTGCTTTGCACAATTTTCAAAGCAGAGCATGAAATGTGTCAAAGAGCACTAACAGGTCAATTAGCAAATGTCTAATAGGATCTTACATGGGGTAAGAGAGCAACACTACAAGCAGGTGTAAAATCATAGTTCTGCACAAGGAGAGAGCAGTGCCTGTACTGTAATGGACTAGCAGGGGAGCTGCTGAAGGCAGGGGTGGTACTGTATCCTGGGAATGAAGCTGGAGAGACATGTCAGTGCAGCCCCTCTAGATACAGCATGTCAGTAACTTTGGGATGGGTGTATGCTCCCATGCATACACAAGACAATTCACCATGTGAACAGCAGTGCCCGTGGGTTTGCTGTCTGTTAGACTGCAGTCTGTTTTACCAACATACAAAGCAGCGTCTGTGAACTCCAGCACTGAGCTGCACAAATGTGTGGGACTGTAGGAATGTGTCCCTGCTTCTGACCTGGGCTTTTTAACCACCAACAGCCACGGAGGGGGTGAGGCATATTTCAGAAGGGGCAGACAACTTGGAAACCATCTTGAGTCTTGAACATCTGCCAGGGTCTGTCCTCTAATACTACAAGTGAAAAGTCACAAACTGCCTTATCAGTACAGAGGTGCAAATAAACTTCTGACAAAGGGCAGATCCTCAAGCCTTAAAGGATGCAAAAACAGCCCAGGTATTTCTCATGAAACTTAAAAATAGTTCCAGCAAAATGCTCTATTAGCCTGCACAATTGTGAAGGTGAGATATAGTTTTAGTCACATAGGAAATCTCTCTTCAGGAGCTCAGGGGAGTGCTTGTCATTCTACTGTCCTACATCATTGAAATTTTCTGACTCAGAACCCATCCTACACAGTGAGAAATTTGCATTGAAGTTTATCTTACAGTAGTTCATCACCACATGGGTTCACTTGCATTCTTCATGTTCTCTGCCATGGCAGCTGAAGAAGTTGATTAATATGGAAAACTAATTACTATCTTCATTGTTAGTACTACCTCTCTCTCAAGTACACTTAAAAGTCTCAGCCCCAGCACACTTAAATATGGAGAGGACCATGTTAAATAGCAATTTGCATTAGAATAGCAATTTGCTGGTTTATCACTGCCCACTGTAATCATAAGGGCTCTGCTATACCCAGTGTACATTCAGAGACATGGCACCAGACTTCCAAGAGGACTCCTTGCTGCTTAGCCCAGACCTTCTCCAGACCACCACCAGAATCAGACTAAGGGAGTGCAAATGTAAGTCCTATATGCTGAAACAGCTTGTTTACTCAGACTATTTGTATGCATTTTCTCTCTCCCACCCTACTATTACACATGCATGGCACCTTTCAGTCTTGTTTCCCTCTCTGTCCAGTCTCCTGTACTCCTGCAAACAGCATTACATCAGAATTTCTTAGTTTGGCTTGTGTACTACTAGAAATACTACACAGCAGTGCACAGCAGAAAAAATCCCATTGCTGGCATTCATTGTATAAAGCTTTAATATTGTGTTTAACAATCTCAAGGGACTATGGCAAGCAAATTTAAATTGAGACAGCAGACTATGAAATGTAATAATGTCTACACCTCCTCTAAATATTTCTAAGACCAAAAATAAAGTAGGTTCTAAAGCAGGCTGAAAATACTGTGTTCAGAGGACTTTAAGCACCCATTTGCATGCTTATAGGACACTGCTTCCTCCTGTCTCCAGGGAGCAAAGTCCTCTGAAGATTCTCAGAAGTATACATGAGAACAAGCTATCAAAAATGAGGGAAAGGAATGCTTTGAATTTAGCAGCTGGTCAGAGGGGTGGGGTGAAGAGAGAAGCAGAGAATTCAGGAAAGTGGTACCACTGCTAAAGAACAGGAAACAGAGCAGTGAGCACACAAAGTGCACAGCTGTCCGAGAATGCTCCGCTCCACAAATGCAGTATGCCAAACAAGGCACTATTCAAAGCTTACCAAGTTAAGGAAATGGGAAAACCTCAACAATATTGCACGTCTCTGACAATAAATTCAGAAATAAAAAACACTTATTAAAGGAAGGACTGTCCTGTAATAATTCTGAGTAATAGCTATGAGATAAAAAATCCCCCCAAAATTAGGGAATGATCACAAGAACAAAATTGAACATTGTTTTATTGATAAGTAACTTTTAAAATAATTTAACTCAAATATTCTAGCATTACAATGGTAAACAAGGTGAAAATTTCAGGAAGTCAACTGAAGTCAACAGAATCCAAACTTGTTACACAAACACAGATTTTTCAATTTTATCCCCATTATGACTTCAAGGCCATGTAGTAGTTATATTTCTCTTCAAAGCCTGTTACTTATTTTATTGCTAAGCTGCTACATTGCAGAAGTGATGATTAATCACCCTTTGAAAGTTCCACAAGACTCTGAGACACAAAATCATGAATCCATGTATCAATATGTGGAAGAGATGTGTCCACAAGAAAAGTCAGTATTTTTCGATCCCAAGAGTAAGTGCTGTCATTAACTGCCTGTATCTGTGCCACAAAAGGTTTCTTCTCTACAAGATTCCGAAACACTATTGATGCCTCTTCTGACCACTGCTGGTTTTTCACTCCTAGGACAAATGTAAAGCAAAACAGAAGGTCATTTATAGACTAGAACAAGTTTAAAAGTAGTGGTGTGAGGTTAAATTCTTGAGAAAAGAGATTTTAAAGTACTAATGAAGGCAACTTAAATCTAGAAAAGAAACACAAGCTCACTCATCTCCCACACAAACAAACTTAATTATTACACAGACTAGGAATTTTTTTTTTTCTTGGAAGTCTAAAGATAATGATGTGTTTGCAGAAGTGAACGGCAAATACACTGAGTCACTGAGCATTCAGAGGATATTTACTAACTTGCATGACCAGGGCTTATCAGGAACCATGATAAAAAGGAAACTGAAGATCCTTTCAAAACAAACTTTCTTTATCTATAGCCTGAGGGTGCCGACATGACTTGTCCCATCTGCCTTGCTTTAGATTTTCTTTATCTTAAAGCAGCATCAATTACTATAACACCTGCCAAACCTTCAAGTCCCAAACAGGACATACAGAGGGCAGAAACAAAGAGAAGTTATGCCTAAATGCCTCACAACTGTTTTTTCTTTTTCAGGATAGTGTCCCACAAAGTCAAGTCTGCAGGAACATAAACAAGTTTTTGGATATGGTTGCAAGCCACCTAGAGATAAGTGGCACCTGCAGACTTGGGTACAGCATTTAGACACAGGGGCTCAAATATCATGCTGGAATGCCCAAAAGCCACTTTATGGATAACAGAAGCAGAACGGCAAAATAACAATATTTTGCTTTTACTATCAGCAGCAGCTTGCCACTGACAGGACAACAAAGAACACAGCTGCCTGCAATTCCGAAAGGAATTAAAAGTCAATAGTTAATCAAAACTTAAGAAAGAGTAATTAATGCTAGGAAAGCATTATGCAAATAGGAATACAAATGGGATTTTACAAGAAAACAGATCAGCGACTATGAGGTATGAGACACAAAAACAGAGAGAAAAAAGTAGAATAGCAGGACAATAGTTACTGATCTTCCAGGCTCAGGTGGCTGCTTTGACAATATGAAGCATCTTGGAGGCAATTTAGCTAGCTACGTGGGAGACTCAGTGAAGCAGGAAAACTTGATGACTTGCAGGCTTGCTGAGCAGGATCCTCCACAAGACAGACACAGCTAGAAATCAGCCACATTACAGCACTGCACGTTGAGGACCCCAGCCTGTCAGTAGCACATCCATCACAAATCACTAGTTTAAAGCTACCCCCAAGGTCACAATGAGGATATGCAGGAAAGCAAATCCACAGAAGGCACAGGGCACTAACTCTTGTCACCTCTCACTTCTAACAAGAATATTCTGTGACTGAAATCTAGAGCAGTGCTGACCAAACAGCATCAGAAAGCAGCAGCTAAGATGAGATGTACACATATGAACACAACAGAGAAATGAAGAAAAAATTTTGAAATGAAAGAAAAGACAGCAAGGAGAGATCAGGTTTTATTTTTTAAATTCTCTCAGATGTATGCACACTCTCTATGTGCCATATTCTCAAGGAAATTATCTTATGTAAGCTTATTGAAAGCCCCCTCATGGAGTTCTTTGTTTGGAGAAAACCAATATATATCAGGAAACTCGATTCCAAATATGGACTGGAGAGCTGTAAATTACAATAGGGTCAATATATATATTAAAAAATCACCTAGAAATTCTGCATCTAGGTTCCTAAATATAAACTCCGATATTCATAACATTAGGTTCTTACCAACAGATGCATTCTAACTTTCATACTTGGTAATTGGTTGTGTTAACGGATCCAAAACCATAAAATTTTTATTTCCTTGTGTCTTTTGCATAGTAGATATCACAAACATTAAATAATAAATTTTATGACCATGAAAAGCAGCTGCTGGGAAAGTTTCAGCAGTCTTCATTCTCAAAGATGGTACCTTAAAGTGCTCTATTAAATTAAACAAACTAATTACACAGAATCATCAGCACTTATGCCAAGAATAAAAGCGGCACATAAACATGCAGAAGAAACCCAATTACATAACCTTTGACTTTTTTCCATTTTAAATTTCTGTTCATTTCATATGCCCACTGATGTAAGACTTCAACAAAAACAATTGCAAACGCTTGATATTTACCTGCAAGCTGAGCTGTGATAGCTTGGAAAGGTAGTCTTCTGAACGTATCCAGGAGTGGCTGTACTTTCCCTATGCTGACAACCTCATATTTGCCATAGTCCAGCTCATACACTGACAAAACCCCATTTTTAAGAATCGCTTTTATTATGACTCTGTACCACCTAAAAGGGAGAACAAAACCAGACCATTTGAATTCATATTCAGACACTGTCAAAACACCAGAAAAATAATGCACAACCAAAAGATCTTAACCAACATATCTCAGACTTCCCAAATATGTATTTACCTGAATAAAAGTCAACTATCTCAGCTACAATAGGGAAGCATGAAGAGACTGCAATCTCATTAACTCCCTTAATCTCTCAGATACCATTGGACATCTGCTATGTTGTTTACAACGCAGACTAAGCAAAGCTAGGCTTGCCTATCTTAGCAGAGTTAAGCTTGCTTTCAAAGATTTTAAGTAATTTAAGTATCTACTTACTCATCTCCAATTTTAGCTGCACACAGCTCATTTTTTTTAACGATCACAGGTTTCTCTTCTGCCCTGCTGTAGTACAAGATCATTTCTTCCATTAGGGCATACAGATTGTTAAGCTCATTCCAAGGCTGGACAACGAAATGACCAGGATGGCAGGCCACTGAGACGTAGATATCCATGAGGTCACCAGGCTTTGGCAAGGGTAGAGGAGGCGGCATCTCAATGGTGGACACTGTACTGCTGGGTTCTCTGCCTAAATCAGGAAAACTCTTCTCCAGCTTCCCACTAGGTAACTGTAGAGCTGGAACAGCATCACCTACAGCCTCTGTGAAGCTAGTCTCACTGGGTGTCACACTCAAGAAAACATCTTTCTGATGCTTCCACAAGTCTGCATTTTTGATCTGTCTATTGATGCTACGATCCATGTCTGGGAAATTCTCTGGAGCAAACAAGTAAATGTGTGCAATTCCTTTTGAGGCGTCCTGTTTAATCACCTTGGAACACAAAATACCGTTTAACAACCAGTTAGTAACTATTAAAGGCACATCTGAAGAAGACTAAAGCATCTTTAGAAGACTAAAGCAGTAATAGTTCAGTGTCCACACAGTAGCCAGTGTCCACACAGATCCAAAAAACGTATTAAATAATAACACCTAATCCTTTAAACTATCTCCTGTCATTATGGGAATTGAGACCTGCTAAATTAGATGAAAAAAAAAAAAGAAAAAAGCTTCTAGGTTTCTTTCACATGTAATTTTCAAGCACTGACATAAAAATATTTCCTATTTACCATCAGATATCCTAACATTATTAATAGTAAAGCACTTAAATTTTAATTTGACAAAGTATGCAACATTCCTTTAATTATGCTTCTGTTGATGTTCCTAGCCAGGAATAAAAAACTTTCCGCAATTAAAGCATGCATCTGCTGTCTATAATTTAATACAGAAAAAATTAGCACCAAATTCAAACTCTTTTGGAAGAGGATGTCTAGAAAAGCCAGGTTCAACAGGTGTAATTCTCAGAATAGAGGTCTAGACTAAAGCAAGCAAGAAGGTTATGGAAAGCTATAAAGCACTTTTTCAAAGTGTCTGGCAGTAGCTGGAATCAAAAGGTTAAGAAGAAATCAGCATTGTTTAGTCTGTAGTTATAATAGATTTCCTTTAGAAGGGTATTAAACTAGCTTAAACAGTTAGCTAAACTATCTAGGATACGTTGCAAATGGAAATAATTTTATCTCAAAGATAAGAGACATTCTAACTATATAAAGCATATACTAAAACAAAGTCATTTAGAAAAAGCAAACAAAAATTTAAACTGCTTTCAAAGACTAGAAGGAGAAAAAGCTTTGCTCACAAGAGGCATAAAAGTAATTTAAGATTAATTCAGAAGTTGCATATTTTTATGTGCTGAAACACATAAAAATATATGTTTCTTTCTGATCAGTGGCAAAATAACTCTAGCTGCATATTAGGACTTGGACAGCAACATGTGAACAGCTGCTGTGAAAATTGCTAAATTCACAGCAGAGTGGAAAAGAGAAGATTCTAACAATCCTAAGCAAGTAAGTTTTAAAACAAAATTGCTAAGAAAACAACAGTACTTATGTCCTTTAGCTGGTTACAAACTTCTACACTTCTGTAACAAAAACCAATTTGATGGGTTGTTAAGCTTTTGAAGTTGTTTTTCCAATCCTCTTTCCACATGCCTGTGTGATTTCAGGTCTCATAGGCATTTTGACTATTTACCTTCATGCTAAATTCAGGACAACTTATTACAGCATCTCTCAGCCACAGTACAGCATCTGGAGTCCACATGCCAGTATTAGGAGGCAAATCTGCCAGACAGCACTTCAAAGCCTAAGAACAGAATTAAGTATACAAGATGTAATTTATTAATATGAAAGCTGGTTCACTTCAGAGACTAATGCTGACAGAGTCAATCATATATGACAAACAGAAAGAGAAAGAGCAAAACGCAAATTCAGTACCATGACACATACACAACATCCACCAACTCAGAGGACTACACTGTGATTTATTTCAGGCAAAGATACACAATAAAATACACTGCAATGTTGAATGCTGTGAAACAAAACAGAATTTCAGTATATAAACCTTGAAGCAGAAGCACTACAAACACTGCCAAGAGATTGAATATAGGTCAACTTTAACACGTCTTTATACCTGAGGAGGTATTTCAATTACTTCTCTCAGGAATTGTGGTGGGATTTCTTTGAGCTCTGATACTTTTACAGTTGCAACTGTTCCACTATCCATAAATTGCACATCAAGTGCCTGTCTAGTGTGAATAATTTTTATCTGCAAGAAGAAAGCAAGAGCATAATTTTGAGGTCAAAAACCCAACAGTGACAAATACGTCATAAAATATTTCATGGAAACTAAACATTCAGAGTGAGTTGAACAAAAAGAAGAGACATTTCCATGTGAGCAAATTCTAGCTGCTTTTTGAATACTTCTTACCTCTACACGTGCCAATTTTCCTTTGGAAGGAAACAAGCATATTTTGCCACAGAAAGGTATCAATACATTGAACTCTGATGTCTGCTGCAAATATAAAAACAGAAGTCAAAAAGCACAGAGCTATTACTATCTGGCACTCAACTAACCATTTCAAAAGCAACAAGTCATAAACAATACTGAGAAGCAAAAGCTCTGTTTCAAATAAAAAGTATATTTACAGCTTTAGAAACACTTCTTATCACATTGCTTTAAGTTTCCCCAGTTGGTAAATTTTCTAATCCCAAACTCTGTACCTTACAGGGAAATTGGAAGAACATGAAGTGACAGGGGTAAAAAAACACATTTTGGAAAAGACTAGGAAATTACCAGTAATTACTTGACCTAAAAAGCAAGAGCAGTTAAGAGCTATGACACAAGCGAAGAAGCTCCTAGCTTATATTCTAGAATATACAATTTCTTGAGACATATAACAAACCAAATTTACTGCTAACTCAAATGAAAGTCTCATAGGGGTGACAGGCACCATGATAATGCTACATAACATAACAAGGCAATGGCTAGACCACAAAAAGTAGGGAAACTCCATTTGAAGAACAATCAACACATTAATATGTTTAAATTCTTGGGCAAAATGAGTTAAAACCGTCCAGATAAGCTGCAAAGCCTGATATTAAAAGAATCAGAAGAACAATATCTTTCTTTGATAGCAGCAAGAAAATATCAAGCATACTCTCCCAAGAATACCAACTCTTGAAACACCTTTATGGCTGCCTTCCTTAGTGTCTTTATGTTGCGAAATATTTTAGCAACTTTTAGGAACTTGTGTTGCTAAACTTAAGCAACTTCATCAAAAAAATTTCTTTCAGTGTTTAGCTTGCTTGAAACTGAATCCTGATAAATGAAATGCGTTCAGCATAAAATATTTCCAGATGGTCGCGCCATAGGTCTGAAGCTCAACTTCTACACCTAAAACACTTTGACAGCATAGTTTCACAAGCAGCAGTTCAAGCAGAACCTCCAAGGATCTGTATTGCATGATTTGATTTTGCCAGGCTTAGCTGAACTACAAAATTTATTATCTTAATTCTTACAAATTAGATTATCTTAAAATTTCTTCTCTTTTGCTTAGATTACCTTGAGTCTAATAAGGATTGTTGCATGTATCTGTAAATGGCTGGTGGAACACCAGACTTCTCTGCCACATTTTAAAGCTACTTAAGACTTTTCAAAATGTCTCCTATACATAACTTTGACATTGAAAAGAAAGCATCAAAAGACACTTTTCACATGGAAAGGTGCACCCCAAAAACCTGCAAATTAGAAAGAGAACTTTTAGCCTTTTTGAACAGTCTATGGCTACCACAGAAACTTACATTTATGTGCAAGGAAAATTATTGGTACTCTCTGGAGAAATGCTGCATGATTTCACCACTTCCCTCACCATGGAACTTACCTTGTAAAGAAAGTAGTCTTCTAGTTTCTGCAGTATTTCAGAAAGTCTAGACAAGCCTTTGGATGGCACTTGACAATACAGGCTCCCATCAGAGAAAACACTGGTTACTCTGACGTTGGTATATAGTGCATCTACCTGCAACAGTATGAGTGTGACAAGGGAAAAAAAAAAAAAGCCCTCACAAAATTTAGCAAATTTCTGACTACTGTTTTGTGTCCATCTAAGACCTCAACAGTCAATGATTTTTAATAATTAAGGAGGAAACAGGACAATGGTACCTGTAGGTGCAGTTCAAGGGACTTGTCATACAAAGCTTTCATACAAGTAGCATTGATGTTGATATCATCTTCTCCAGAAGTGTCATAGAGAACAAGAAGAGGAGTATCACTCCTTTCCAGTATTTCCACAGCAAATATCTTGAAGCATGTCTGTGATTCCACAGCCTTTACTAGGATAGGATCATCAGAGAAGGCTTCCAGTCCTGTAAGACACACCATACCTTTTTGTGTACAGAACTTCTACTGCACCCCTACTACTTGCAATCTACTTAATTTCTACTTTTTTTATCAAAGAAAGCCATCTTTGGGGGAAAGGCACAATAGAAAAGAAGACCTTCTTCATAAAGAGCTGAGGCAAATGTGTAGAAAAAAAATGGAAAGCATCCAAGTATTAAAAAATCAACCAACCAAAAATAAGACAAGCTCATTCACAGCAATTTTACATATTTAAAATTTAATATTTTTAAAAAGTTAAAAAGGCCTACTAGTTTTAGAAAGGTAAATAAATTTACCTTTCTAATAGCACTAGGATCACTTCAGAATAATTAAATAGGCTCATATTTAGAAATATTGCCTAATTTAGTCACAACAGATGTACCTCATTAATGGAAAAAAATGTTGTACTAGTGTACATTGTTTCACACAACCCGTTTCCTTTACTTTAAATGTTTCTTTTTATTTCTTTAGGCTCATGTATATTAAAGGCCCAAAGACATCCATGTTAAGTGCAGAAACAATTAAGCTCCATTACAGAGGTACAGGATAAAATCATCTTCTAATATCAAGGATTCTCGGTAAAACTCTTCTTCATATCCTTTCTTCCTTCCTTTTCCTTCTTTCCATGCATATCCATGTCTGCTTAGACTAGCTGAGCTGAACAAAATCTTTCAAACACATACAGAACTATTACAAAAAAGGATCAGAACTCCCAGACTCACAGAGGCTTCAATACGTAAGGCATGCCAACAGTAAGCATAACAGTAAGTATGTGTGCAGTCAGCACTGGCTTTCTCTTACCTGCCAGTTTACATTTTGCAGCTTGAAAAGGAAGTGATCTGAACTGTTTCTGTAGTCTGCACACACTGTTGCTTTCAACAAACTTAGTGAAGCCATAATCAACATAGTATACCTGACAAAGGAAAAGGGAATTAAAATAACTAGGTCATTAATATAATTGTAAGTATGTTTTCTTGAGTTTAAAGGGAATGTATTTGGTTGCCACATTCTCTACACCTACAGACAAATTACTTTTTGCCAGTTTAGTACCATTAAGTTCATGTTTTCAGGGAAAGCCGCCTCAAGATCTCTATAAAACCATCCTCTCTTCTACAGAATCTCAACTTTAAACAGGAACTGTGCTCCAAGAATTCAGCATATATTATCTCAAACTATGTGAAGAAAGGTAATAAAGTCACAATTTTTATTTACAAAGTTTTCAAAGTGTTGAAAATTCAAATACCACTGAGGTGCATAAGTTGTGGCTATTGTTTTTACACCATTAAGAGAATAATTTTGATTTAAGCTTGTCTTTACTTTGATATAAATACAACAGTCAATGCATGGAGCTAAAGTTACAGAAAGAAGGCTTTGATGGGACTTCCTACAACTTTTTTTTCAAAATTCTATCTTGCAAAATATCTGCATAGCAAATATTAAAAAGAAGCTCTGAACACTGAGCAAGAGGATAATCAGCAAAAGCTGCAATGAAGCAGCAGCCTTCTTTGGGCTGATAGCTCTGGCTAGGAAGAAATTAGAAGCAAGCACACCACTAATTTTCTTGCCACTTCTCTAAACCCAAAAGACCTCTCTTGCACAGGACAAAGTTTTGACACCCAACTCCAACTCACATCTGAAAGGTATCATACTAACTTTCAGAAAAAACTCAATTCTAATACATGTGCTATTTCAGTATTTATAAAATGGTTCAACTTTATGTTAAGCAGAGCTGGGTGACCTAACTGGGGAAAGAAACAAAAATATTAAGGCTGTATCATTAATACTGACTAGTCAAGAAATAACTGAGCAGTTTTAAACTTTTTTTATACTTCTAATATATATTCTAATTTCACTGCAAATGGCAAGAAGAGTCTGTTTGGTATAGGAAAATTTTATCAGAGGAGTTAAATAATGTCAATGGGGTTTAACTAAAATGCATACAACGTAACTTCCAACTCCCAAAATACCAGATCTGGTGTTTTGCCTGGAAGGAGAAAGTATACCCTTTCACCCTTCCTCCTTTTTTTTTTTCCTTTTCTATTTAGTACATGCCAGAGATATTTATGTAGAAGACATCCAACAAGATCCAAAATCTAGGAGCAAATGAATGTTGTTCTTCCATTTCTCTTCCTCTGTTCCCCTCAAACTATTCCTCCTATCACAGATGCATTTTCACCGAAGTGCTATAGGGCCCAGCTCCTTTTAAAAACAAAACCTCCTGAGCTCAAACTATTCATGGAGAAAAACCTGAAAGACCATTTAATTTTGTCAATCATGTAACTTAGACAAGGTCTTAATTTCTCATATACCTGAAAACAGAAGTACTTCTGGGCAAGAAAAGAAAGAATACTAGTGCAGCATATTTAAGATTGTATCTAAAAAACAAGCTTGTTTCAATTCTTTCTCCAAGTGCCAAAAGAGGTAATTGCTTGCCTTTACTCTGTTGTCTTCTAGAGAAATTATCTGTGCACGCACCCAGTCATCTTCTACAGCATGTACTGCAACAAGCTGCCCAACACTCAGAGACTGAGCTGGTGACACTGTACTGTTCTGACTGTAGTATGCTTTCATTTCATCTTCCATTTGTTCCTGGGCAGAAGAATAATCTTTGCCCACATACCTATAATATTTTACAAAAAAACCAACCAAATAAACAAACAAAAAAACCACAAGAGTTGGGATGCAACTTCAAAAAAGCTGAATAAAAGCATAAGAACATTTATATGCATATATGAATAAATTATATACATTTTCTAAGACATTTATGTCCAAACACCTCTCTTTTTAGAAAAAAAAAAAAGTTACTCTGTGTAACAAACACCATCTTAATCTGTTTTTCATTAAGGCTGATCTAAACCAAAGCACCTAAAGTATCTTTAAAAATTAGTTGTTAAACCAAGTGCTGTTTTCTCTCATACAACAGTTTTATCTTGATATTTGATTGCTGACCTAATGATTCATACTAATGCTGTTTGTGTTACACAGGTCTTCTTAAATCAAGTACAAAAACTTGCTGGAAAATCCAAATGGGAAGTTCTGAATGCTTCAGAAACAAGTCAAATTAGAGCAGACAAAAGGAAAACCTACCCACAAATTTGTATTACTAGTTACTGTTTCAGCTTGTTCATACAGAGGATGATACTACTCAATTGTACCATACAGTTTAGATTATTCACCCAGAGATAGGGTGAATACAATATGTGTTATCATATTGTAATACAACATCATATCATAACTCTGTTGTAAAGATTATGCTAAATCTGATGACATTCCAGGAACTCTGATTTTCCTAGAAACAGCCTTTTTGTTTCTGTGTAAACATTTATCTACTTTGTAATGGAGATAAAGTGGGGTGACAGTCACATCTGTGTGACTTAAAGGTTTCTTGAACATTTATTTCATAAAGATACTTAACAGACAGTCAGAGTAACTCAACAGAAAGCAGAAGAATCTTTCAGAATTTCTTGCTTCGCTCACAATTTTATTCATTATTTCTTTTGAGAATTCAAGTGCAGTACCTAGTGTATCAGCTCTGCCTTCAAACATTCTGTTGTGAATGCCTAGTAAATATCTAGAAGTGTTTCTATCATCTCTTTTTTATTCTAAGTACATTACAATTCTTTGAGGATTGATCCATGTCTCAAAACAGAAACAGCACCAAAACCAGCGCCTTTCAGCTTTGCCTTCATTGGTTTCAGACAAAAAACTTAGCCACATACCAAGAAAGTAAAGAGATACTGCCCCATCCCTGAGATTGAAATAGAAATCTTGATTTTATTAGTCCTGCAAAAATCAACATCAACCAAGAGCTGCTACATAGCTCTTGTGTAGGTCAGTAGAAAGAGGCTAATAGGACATGTAAGAAAAGAAGAGCCCATGTACTGTTTCCTTCCTATATGTCTACATGAACATTTTCTTGTTATGGCAAAAAACACTAATCCTTTCAGGGCTAGTTTCATCATATCAGGATAGATGACCTTGCCCATGAAGTACATGGATAAATCTGAGCAGTAATATTGTAACTAGGATTAAGAAACCACTAATTATCATCATGCACCTACACAGAGCTGACAAACTGAGAAACTTCAATACTGTCCATGAAACATGGTTCAAAACTTGGGAAAAGCTGCTTTGTAGAGAAAATTTTATTTTTCATATGGTATTTTAATCCATGGTACTCAAAGTATTCAGCCCAAATACTTAGTAGAAATGTCCGTAAAATAACAGACTAGAAAGCTAAGAACCATTATTCCACATGGACAGTAAGTTATAAATGCCAGAACTAAAAGGTGTACAGGAAAGTTTTGTAGAGTTAAGTGACATGTGCACAGTGGGCTGGAAATAACAGATGTAATGTAACTATCCACTTCTTACACTGTCCCCTTAGACCAGGCCGATTAGGAACCAAATCAAGAAACACTAGTAGTTTTTTGCTGGATGAAAGCTCATCTTTCTATAAGTGGAATCTGAGTGCACTCAAGTCATGCCTAGTTAGTGTAAGTTATAGAAGCAAAAAGTATTTTAATAAGCACAATAGTAATATCTGAATCCTGTTTCGTGTTGTAGCGGGATTATTTTATAAAGTCTTCCAATGGCAAATTAAATCTGCCTTGATTCTCAGAAAAGCTAAAGCTATGATAAAAGTGATAGGTTTAGGACAGAAAATCTTTCAGAAAATTTCCATTTAAACTCATAAACAAAAGGATTTAAATTTTCATTAGCAGAATGAATAAATAAAGTCCTGAAACCTCCTCTTCATCTAATTTTTTCTGGCAGCCTGCACTATATGAATGTGTGGATTTATAAATAAAGCAGAAAAGGTAGACTCCATAATACAAACTTGCCTAATCAGGACCTCATTAGTGTTTTTCAATTCTAACACCAGGATGGACACAGATCCTTCTGACGGAGTAATTAGAGAAGGAACAGTTATGTTTTCTAGGTACTGGTCCTTGGATTCTTCATACTGCTGTTCAGCTGTGGCCTTCTCACCATCGTGACTCTTGACTTTCTCAGTGACATTCAGATTTTCATCAATACATCTCTGGGGTTTAGCATAGAGGATCGCCTTACTGGGAACTTCAGATACATAGCTGACAACACATACGTCTGACAGCAACTCTAGATTATTTAGAATGTCTTCTGGAAATTTTACTTGGTAAGTGTCTTGGTACACTTTGGGAAGTGCATGAGCCCATAGACCACTGGAGTACTTCAGCAAGATGCCAACAACTTTTGCCTTGAAGTCGCTATTGAGTGCTGCAGGTGTGGTCTCCATATCTGGTTTTAACAAAGGGTCTGCTTTTGGTGAAGTAACATTCTGAGATGCCTTTTCTTGGTCAGCATGCCTTTTTGCCGCTGGTGGTATTTTCCTAGCAGGATAAAGAAATCCATCAATTGCATCGCCTCCATGGATTTTCTCCACCTTGGAAAACAAAAAAGAGAGACAATTATCAGTTGCATCTCTAACACTAAATTGTTTTGCCAATTACACTTCTATAACATGCATTTTAAACAGACTTTGAAGAGAACATCCACAGGGAGCTAAGCTTGAGGCAGTTACTACAGATTAGCATTTCCTGTAATGCTTCCTCCTCTGTTTTGAAGGGTTCCAAACACATGTGAGTACAGGAGTAATAGGCAATTATCTAATCCATGCAATGCAACTGAGACTTGCTTCCAAAGAAGTACAGTCTCTCTTCCCTCCTAGCAGGATCAGAAGATGGTGATACCCTTCACAAATTTACCTCTTTTGCATGTTAACCTCCACAGTCTTCCCCACAGACAAGCAGATCATAAAAAAAAGTTTCTCTCAGTTTTCTGAGGGAAAGGAGATTTGATTCTATACTTCAAAAACAAGAGAACACTTGCCAGGCAGTGCTGTCAGGCAGGCTATCTGCTGGCATGTTCAGGGAATTAGTTTTCTTTACAAAGGTTCTGAAATCAAGGAAGAAATTTCTGGTTCATAATAAATTTCATAATAAAATTAATTAGACCCTTCTACATCATGCCCCCAGCCTCCTTCAGAACCAGATATTTTGCCAGTCCCTACATATCCACCCTTTGCTCTAAGTATATCACATAGTCTGAAGTCACAACATTGAAGGTACTGTTTGAGAATTGTAGCCAAAAACTCACAATAAAATTCTGCTTCCTAAAGCTTTTCAGTTTCAATCTAGATTGATCTAATCATAGTTTAGCAGGAATCTATGTAAAATTGAGATAAAAAAAGGTCTTAGTGTTTTCAAATTAGTCCCAAAGGAAGAAAAATAAAGAAAGTTACTAAGGTTTATGTAGCTCTACTTTGAAGTTCCTTTGTCAGAGGAAACAACTCTAATCAAAGTAAATTTCAAAAGCAGATCAATGAAAAAACATGAAGCAGCTGGATTACTTGCTACTACTCAGGGGTAGCATTCACCTCCACCCATTAATATGCACACCCATCAGGACTTTATAACCCTTGCCCAACTAATTACTTGCAGCTCTGTCCTAGCAACATACATTCAAAGCATAATGAACAATGAAAGAAATTAACAATTTTCTGGTATTTTACAGAAAAAGATAACACATATCACTCATTATCAAGATAACATTAGCAAGAAACAAATACTGAGTTACAACACATTGAAAAATAATCAAATGGCCTTTGTTGTATGTAGAACCATGTATTTTGTCCCACGTATACCACATCACACTTAGCCCAAATTGCCACATGATCTGAGTTAGGAGTTAGGAAATGAACTGCATTTCCATATACTTGCTCTGCATTAAATTGTCTAGGCTAGTGCCAAAACAATCTGTAAAAAGGTTATTGGGAAGAGGTCTTGGTCAACTTCCATGAACACTAGCATGACACAAAGGAAATAATTTTCACAGATACAAAAAAAAAAATTAACCATGTTAGAGAACCCTCACACATTCCTGGTAGCATGCCTAAATTATTCTCTATCAGTGAAAAACCAAAATGGAAATACTTTCTGCAAGAATAAGACATAAGAAAGCAAAGTTCTTGGGCATCTCTGCTACTCAGCTTGATATAAGAGACAATAAACATGTCTGGCAATACAACCTAGAAGGACCAAGATGCCTTCAATGATTCCTGACATAGAACACCTATATTTGTACCCTCTGATATGAGGAATCTTACAGTGCCCTTTCCACCACAAGAGAAGAAAGGAGTTCAGTCAAAAATAGAACCAAACAAAAAACTTATCAAAACCTTGTGAAGGCTTTGATACATGGCCAGGAGACCTAAGTATATCAAGTCATACAGACAAAAGAAAAAATCAGATAATGACATCCTAGATAGAGAGGACTTGATAAGGATATCCCAAGTGTCCATGGACAAGGCTGGGGAATTCATTTACATGACCAGCCAAGGAAACATTTAGCTCCAGAAAATACTTAACATTATCAAGACAACAATTTGTTTGAGAATGCTGTGTTAGAACATATAGCAGTTTATCCTGGAAGAAGCTAGATGCAGAGGTCTACCTTTATGAATCCCTTCTCTTGGCTAGTGCTCTTTAAATAGAGCTGCGACAGAGCTGAATACATTTTTGCTGACAGGACTATAAACCCTTACATACTAAAGCCCAGCAGCAGACTAAGGAGAGAAGATCCTTAGAGATCTTTAAGCCTCTTAACTCTAATAATAGCTCTGGGGTTTTCTAGAAACTGAATTTCAGTTTTGAAGAGGCTGTATATGCTAACTGTGCAAACCATTTAGATTGCAAAATGCTATTTTCAATAAATTGTTGCCGATTACACAATTGTTGCAGTGTAAAAAAGCACAGGTTGGCAACACTAGAATCAGAAACAAAGAACATCCTGAGTAAGAAAATACCCACAAGAATCACTAAGTCCAAATTCTGGCCATGTACGGACATCTCCAGGAATCGTATCACCTTCAAGGCCACAGAAACTTTTAATAACAAGCAAATAGCTTCACTTGTGAGCGGCACTTCAAAACAGCCCCCTTTCTTAAGCACAAATGTCTCAACCAAATTTCCTGTTGAACTTACAGATTTGCCTTCAAGGTACTCCCCATTAGTATGGCTACCAGCCAAGCTCGGCAAGCACATTATTATAGTGGGAGGTACTGAGAAACACTTGAAAGACAACACAGTCATTCATCACAGCCAGCACAGGTTCATGAGGATAAAGTCCTGCTTGTCAAACTTAATTTCATTTCTTGCCAAGACAACCCACCTAGCTGATCCAGGGTATATAATCTTTTTGGGTTTCAGTAAAGCTTTCCATACTGGCTCTCCCAGTGTCCTTCTGGACAAAACATCCAGCCCACAGCTGGATAAACACATAATGGGATGGGTGAGCAACTAGCTTATGGGTCAGGTGCAAAGGGTTACAGCAAATGAGGTGACATCAGACTGGTGACCTGTGTTGGTTGGGGTTCCACAGGGCTCCATCCTCAGCCCTGTGCTCTTGAACAGCTTCAGAAATTACCTAGACACTTAGAAACCCTGTGAAGGAGTATTAAGCAAGTTCACAGAAGACAAAAAATTGGGAGGAGCTGTTGACTCCCTCACAGGCAGGGAGTCAACCTTGATCAATTAGAGAGCTGAGCAAACACTAACAGTATGAAGTTTAACGAGGGGGAGTGTTGGACTGTGCACTTAGGATGGGGCAACCCTGGATGTGTGTACAGACTGGGGACAAGAGACTGGAGAGCAGTTCCATGGAATGGGACCTGGGGGTCCCGGTCAGTGGCAAGCTGAACATGACCCAGCAGTGCCCTGGCATCCAGGAGGGCCACGTGTGTCCTGGGGTGCATCAGGCACAGCATCACAGCCAGGCAAGGGAGGGAATTGTCCCACTCTGCTCTGCACTGGGGCTGCCTCAGCTTGAGTGCTGGGGGCAGTTCTGGGCGACACAACAGAAAAAGGATATTGAGCTGTTAAGAGACCATCCAGAGGAGGACAGTGAAGGTAGAAAAGGGCCTTAGATGAAGGCCATATGAGGAGTGGCTAAGGTAATTTGGTCTGTTCAGCCTGGAGAAGAGGAAACTGAGGTGCAGTTACAACTTCCTTGAGGGAAGTGGAAGAGGAGCAGCCAGGCATTGATCTCTTCTATCTGGTGACCAGTAACAGGACCAGAGGAAATGGTCTGAAGATGCGTCAGGGGAGGTTTAGGTTGGATATCAGGAAAAATCTTTTTCAGCCACAGGGTGGTTTGAGCACTGGAACAGGCTCCCCAGGGACCAACACTGACAGACCTCAAAAAGCACTTGGACAACACTCTTAGGCACATAGTGTGATTCTTGGGGATGTCTTGCACAGGGCTAAGAGTTGTATTTAATGATCCTTGTGGGTGCCTTATAACTCAGAATATTCTGTGATTCTGTGACCTTGCCTCTTGTTTGTGGTCCATTACAGAGCACAAAGAAGAGGAAACAGCAGGCAGAATGAATTATCAGAGCAATAGAGAGAGCGAGAAGCTGTTCTACATAGAAGAATAATATTTCTTTCCTGGGCTTGAATAACAGAAGCAGCTCTTAAAAACTGAAATCTGGAGACTCAAATAATAAAAGTTCAAATAAAAAAATACTTCCAAGATAAGTACTGACACTGCAACTGAGTGAAATGCAAAAGAGCAAATCCCCTTGTTTTGACATACACATACAGTGAGGACAAAGGCAGACATGCTCCATTATGTACTGGCAGGACAAAAGCTTTGCACATATATGCTTGACAATGTTCAAAAAAACCACTGATCAACATATATAAACTAAACAAAGTATCGACTTTCCAATGCTTAATTGTGTGTAATTGGAAACCTCCTGGAGCATCAACAGTTTCCAAGAAGGAAATAGAGAAAACACATCATTGAAATGAGAGTTTCTAGTCAGAGTAAATGTCCTTCAGTTTCAATGTTACATTCAAACTAGCATATGCAGTTATTTTCTGCTATTCTTCTGCAAGGTAAGAAAATAAAACCTGCAAAGGAAGTTAGCATTTAATGTCAGTGACAGAGTTTCAACTTATATGGCAAAGAAGTCTGGCTCCATGATTTTTGGTATCCAACAGGTTCTGAAAGACGGCTCTAAAATACAAATCAGAATTATCACTCTGATTCACTGAGAAGAATTCTTTGGAAGTGTGGTGCAAGAGTTCTTTCAGATCTGATTTAAATATGCAACATGGAAGCCAACTACTACAGCATATATACCACAGACTGTACATAGAAACATTTTAGTAACAGGCACCTTAGACAAACACTTCAGTGTGAAGGCAGCTCTCATCTGCCTGACCTTCCTCAACAATACATGAAGTTAAGCTCCTAGCAAGCTGGAGCTCAAAGCAGTGAGGAAGGTATTAATGGCCTTGATCAGCACTACCCTGCACCTACACACTGGCTGACAGCACTTCTTCTCTGTCACTGGCAGCCACCACAACTTCAGGTCCC